CTTCCAAGAATCAAGACTCGGTGATGTCATCAGGGGCGTATATTAAAAAAAACCTGGACTTGCAACGCCTTTGTTCGTTCTGACGCCTTTGTTCGCGCAGAAGCCAGTCCAGATCTTTTTTATACGTCCGTACGCGTGGCATAACCCTTATAAGGCGCCCTCATTTGATAGCATTTATGACAGCGTGTGTCATACGCCACCAGTTAGTAAGTCCGACTTGACAGATAAGCCAATCGGACCCCCGTCAGTAATATGTAGTTATTCAAATTGCACATGAACGACATAATCTTGCAAAATGTATACAGAATTTCCACCGATCAAAGTAGTCAGATTTAGGCCTATAGAGTCGTTCATTATAATGTAGGTATGAACGACGCAAAAACAATTCCGGCAATGTGATTGGCCGCTACCACTTTTGGTAGATGAGTCCATTCGCTGTGTACAAACAGTTGGCAGATTCGTCAAGTTGGGTTTCTGAACTGAACTCGTAGTAATTAGTAGACAAAAGAGGGCGCGAAGCAAGTAACTGCGTGCGGTCCCGATAGGCCTATGTATCCAAAACATGAACGAAGACGTCCAGAGATCCCGACCTGAGTCAAGTCTAACGTCACGTGCTACATAACTACATTTCTAGCTACACCGCAGCGCGTGCACGGCAGAGGCGCCCATAGACCCACTGAGGAGAACATATGAGCAAACGATTATAACGTCAAGACTGCACATGCGCACTACGAAATTCATACTAACAGCGTAAGTCAGGTCGGTAGATGAAAGTAAACTAATTGCCTAATGATGATAGACCCTGCACTGCTAACTAAGACTTGCATTGGTTCTGGCTTTCTAATTTTTGCACGCCAGAGGGGGAAATGTCCGTTGATACCCTTATGCCTGATTAATAATTTACCATCCAACTTAGGTGTTCTGTCTCGTCATATAACTTGAACGCCAACCAGTGATAGTATTCTGTCGATAATGACGGTGCACTTCCGCTATCCAAAGTCCACTTAAACGTTAATTGTGTGATTTGTGTACCTTCAGACTTAGATTTGATATCAAGGTTGATTTGTCTCCTTTTGTCCGTTGGTGCAGCGTTTGCTAGCCTATTTCAGATAGCCAACTGGGAAATTGTGAGAACAAGCGAGTCCCGACCAGCTGTAACCCCCACACCAAGCCAACTGGTAGGCTGAATCGTGTTGCTTCTATCATAACGTTGGGTTAGTGTACTGAGCTGTGACCCATTTCTTTGCCTACGAACGTCCGTAAGATGCAATTCGACAATGCTCATAGTCATAGCAGATTCCACGGATGCCTGTGTTATTTCAAGTTGTAACCAAGCATCATTTGGCCAATTGTCATTTTTTCCGTTGGTTTCTTACAGAACTGAGGACTCATAATGGAGGTGTTTTCCTCATGGAAGCTTCTCGACGCACGGACGCTTGTGCTCGGGATCGTGGTGTTTCTTGTCTTGTTTCGATACCTCCGTCGACCACGAAACCGGCCGCCTGGTCCCTGGGGTTTGCCTATTCTTGGCAACCTCCAACTGCTGATGCCAGGGGACACGTTGTTCAGGCGGATTTCTAAACTTACAGGAAAGTAAGTTTCTGTTTAATACGACAAAAACATAACCAGGGTCCTAACATACATGTACGGATAGCTAGTGAGTGAAAAAGTCGCTTCGAACTCACATTTCAACATTTTTTTTGTACGGGATTTGTGTGTAATAAAAGCTACACGAGCAATTTCATGTTTGTTAAAAACGATGTTAAAATATAACAAGACAGTTTGTACATCTCCACAGGTACACATTTAACCCACCCTACACCATGCACCTTAACTTGTGCTAAAACATTATGTACCGGTAACTATTTCATATTTTGTGTGTGTTTAATTCATGTACTTTACAGATATGGCAAAGTTGTGAGCATCGATATGGGCGGGATACCAATTGTCATCCTACATGGACACGACACGGTCAAGGAGGCCTTCTCGCGGTATCAGCTCAGTGACCGCCCGCATCTTCACATAACTGAGAGTGTTGCTCCTGGTGTTGGTGAGATTTGATCTGTTCTCATAAACTAGGCGTGCTCGTGTGGACAAAGCTTTTGAGATTCAAGCCATGGAGCCAAACGCACTTCCCAATGAATTAATATGAAATCGAAATATATTTAAAGGCTAAAAGAAGATATTGTTAACTGCCAAAAAGGCAGAAGATCTAGGCTCGGACGCTTGCCATTGACCTCATTGCCATAATTATCAATTAATTATCTTAACTATGGTACCCAACCCAAGTCTGTACCTTAACAGATATTAAGCCACAATTAAATTGAACATTACCATGCCAAAACACCCAAATATGCAGTAACGGATGAGGGTTAACCCCAAAATGCACCCTCATGTTCCCACTTGTTACGTTCTCCAAGTGGATATAGCCCCATCTGACGTTCAAAGTGCAGTAACGAAGTTTTGTGTTTGTGTTTAGATTTACAGATTTTTAATGTTTTAACCTGACAAAATGTTTGAGATTGTATTTTTGATAACTTGATATGGGAAGCCAGGTCTTAGATCACAGTGATTATTTTTTTACTTTTGTCTGTCCTGAGCCCATCTTGTCTGTGATGTACATGTTGCTATGAATAAGTAGTAATAATACAGATGTTCTGAATTATTTTAATTGGTAAGATATTCATGGTGCCGCAATGCCGGTTTGTCAAAAGTAGCACACGTATCGGTAAATTGCACATGGCAATTTTCCTTCCATCTCAAAGCAGGTGGGGTCCAACCCCATTCTGCTCCGGCTCACTGTTTTCAAATCTTCATATTTTCTCTTTTACAGGCATTATAGCATCAAGTGGTGAGCAGTGGACC